TGGTCATTTTGCTTTAAAATTGTATTGTTGGTAATTTTCTTATAAATATGTATTATGTATTTTATTATAAATATCTGTATTTTTTATATAAAAATGTATTTCTAGTAATTCTACTATAAAATTTATTGCTGGCCATTTTGCTTTAAAAATGTTTTGTTCGTAATTTTACTATGAATATAAATTGTTGGTAATTTTTATATATAAAAATGTATTGTTGGTATTTTTATACTTTTACAGTGGTTTCTTTTTGTCTGGTGGTTTACTGTTTGCCATAGCGGGGGGTCATAACAGGTTGTACCCCCCCCCAGTTCAGAGTGGACGTGGGAACAATAGCAATTAAGAGGACAATTTTGAACAACAGCAATTTTGAGGAACCCCACGCTCCTCATAACCTCCAATCTTTCGTTCCGAAGCCGTGCTGCCGGATGTAAATTATCGTCATACCAAGAAATTTTGTAAAAACGATTGAGTAAATACTGCTCAATATTCCGATAATCTTAGACTATCGTTGGTCATTTTCCATGAAAAGAGGGAGAAATCGAAAGATCGCCAAGTGGAGCGTTTATACTTTTTACAGCTCCGGACCATGAAATGAACGTGGGATTTGTGATGTCAACAAACACTCGTTGCCACTTTTGTAATGTCAACGAATACTCATTGTCACTTTCGTAATGCTCGTTGTAGTAGAGACTTTGTAATCGCAGATACAACTATAGTAACACCGTTGAACAATACTGGTGTCAGACGCCTTCGATTATCACTCGCATAAATAGTTCTTGCTCGATAATACTCGCTCGTAAAGTAATATGTATAGTGATCCGAATAGAGAAACAGTATAGAGAATAGCGTTCTGTACATAGAGGATAGAAGTGCAGATTCAAATAGTAATAGAGAATATAATAAAAAATAGCGGCCCATATAGTAATAGAGGATAGACTAGAAATGAAAATCAATTAGACACAAACTACCTCCATATATATATGATTACGTGGTCTACTTAATTTAATAATGGGATCGCCTGTGTTTGGTCACTGGTGATCTATGTTCAAACTAAATGTGTCGGTAGCAACACTTTATTCCTATATAACATTGGGTTCACAAGCTATGATTGTGGAATATATTATGGTGTCAAAATAATTTTAACACGTGCGCGCCGAAACTGAAAAATTGATAGTTTCCTGCGTTCTTTTTAAATACCAGGTTATTAGCAATAAAAACGCTTTGCTGGCAACCAATCGGATTCAAGCATCTTAGTAGAACCAATGACTTGAATGGGGCAACAAAATTGCTAAACTCGATTTTGGGTCGAAAGATTGGATTCCATCGGCTTGTGATTCTTGTAATAAACATCGATTTCAGTTTAATGAGGACGCACTTAAAGACCACTACACAACTCCCTGTTCCCATGAGAAAGATCCTGATAGATAACACTTATATGAAAATCCAATTGTAAAAGACGTTCAAATATAATTAAAGCAGTTTATATTAAACGCAAATAGTAATCTTACATTATTTGAAATTGGGTGAAATGTGTTCGCAGTAACTTAAAATCACGTCAACGTGGAATTGTTATTATTTTAATCCAGGACGTTTTAGAAATACGACTATTTTTGAAGAATATTAGAAAATAAACACAGGAAAATATACTAACAACAAACCTCCTATACATTGTCCGAAAGCGTCTGGGACAATAATCACTACGAAGAGCTTGTACTATACCTCAGTTCCCATAAAAGAAAAAAACTGTAAAGACATTAGTAAAATTTAATAAAGCAGATCTAAACTCTTCCGTGTACATTATATTCAATGAAACATGTATGAAAAAATATTACTGCCGAAATATTAAATATATATATATATATATATATATATATATATATATATATATATATATATATATAATTATTTATTTAAAAATATGATTCAAACACGCTACATAAGAGTTCTCATGTTTCAAAACAAGAGCCGAAAACTTCAATATAATTATTTGAATTAAATTGAATTAAAGTACTAAGCTCTGTTCCATCTTCAAGCGAAATTTTTTTTGTAATAACTTATTTCTGAAATTTACGTGTTTTATAAGCATATTCATTATTAAAATCAAAATTTCTAGGGTAACGGCTAGAGCAATTGTTTAAAGAAAAAGGGGCGTAAAGTGTTAATAATTTGTATCAATATCTCGGTTACATTCACATGTCAAGTCAGGGTAAGGTTGGGGTGTCTAAATTTAAAGCGGAAGGTGACATCATTTAGTCTGGTTAAGTGTCTATGGAGATTTATTTATTTATTTTATTTTTTTATTTTTTTCTGAAAGGGTTTTGTGTAAAAAAGAAAAGAAATTCAACACTCACATTTACTCACTTCGACATTAAATTATGCCATTTAGCATCTTCCATAATTTACCTAAACTTTTCTTTTAGCCTGATGAATGTTAAAAACTATCGTAAATCGCTAACATTTGTTTTTTGATGACTTCATAAAGGGTTATCTTTTTTCGTAGGGCATTTAAACTATTTATTAGGACTATGGATTTTAAAAATTATTTTATTGTTTGTTAGTTTTTTATGCTAATCATTCAATGCAAAAATTTGATGATGTCGGCAAAAAACCGTTAACTCATGTCTATTGTTTAATAGATTTTTATTATTTAGAAACTTAATAATGTGTAGTCTTTCATGTAGGTATAAAAGGGCATGGGTCATCCCAAGTTTTACAGGTTTTATAAACAAAACTAGAACTATGCAAATAAAAATAATAAGAAATTAAGAAATACAAAAGTTGCCTACCATGTATGAAGAAAAAATCGTGAAATTTAAATTGATATATATCAATTTAAAAGAACAGTAAAAATGTTTAGTATTTACAGAAATATATATACATATACACAGAGAATTTAGCTCCCTGAACATGATCTCAGGTGAGACTAAAATTACTTGGAAAATGAAAATTATTTGAAAGAAAATTTTGGCATTTTTCTTAATATTCTACGGCTACCAAAAAACTGATTCGTGAACTCGAACGGATTAAAAAAAAATAATCAGGCATAATATGCCTAAATTATTGAACCATGCCTGTTTGAATATATATATAATGATGGATTGAATAACCATAATTAATTCATCGAGTCTAGAAGAAACCTTAACAGAATGCACTGGACGGCCATTTCGTCCTATTTTTTGGGACTCATCAGCAGTGCGCATCCACCACAGTGAATCTAACCCGGAACATTACGATATGAAACAAGCGTTATATCCAGTGGACCAACAGGTCTCGGTGACGGAGAGGTAACAAACCATACTCGATATAGTGTCACCTCTTCAGAAATTCCGTCGTGTGACTCGTCTGAGTCTACTTATACCAAAGGACTGTGCCCCCCGTGAGTCACGAATTCTATCCCCGAACCGCTTCATCCGGAGCATTAGAACCAGTTCAAAAAATCATCCGGATATATATATATATATATATATATATATATAATTAAGTTCAAAAATTTGAATATCATATATATATATATATATATATATATATATATATATATAAATTTTGAAAAAACAAACAAAAATAAATGTATGTCGACGTCTGACGTTTCGGTTTATTAAACCTTTTCAAGACAATATTCATCAAAATATTTATATATATATATATATATATATGTGTGTGTGTGTGTATATATATATATATATATATATATATATATATATATATATATATATATATATATATATATATATATATATATATATATGACCCAACTATGGATATATACCAGGACGCAATGCGTCCTATAGCCTTTTGGTGGCGAACTGTCTAGGAGAATGTATGTATCATATTTATTAAAAGAGGAAGTAACTCAATTAGACGGAAAATTCTCGAGAGTGCTCCTATCGAATTATATTAAAACATAAATCTGTGTCCCAAATGTTTTCAAATATCTCCGTTCCTAAAAGAATTACCTCTTTCCCAAGACAATATACATAACTATAATAATGTTAGAAAAATTGAACGAAATTGATTAAATTCCCAACCTCCTTTTATTTAAAATATATAATACATAAAATAACCCCAAACAAAAATAATATGGATATTAATTGCATTATACAAAAGAAATTCAACACTCACATTTACTCACTTCGACATTAAATTATGCCATTTAGCATCTTCCATAATTTACCTAAACTTTTCTTTTAGCCTGATGAATGTTAATGAACATTTCCTAAAAAAAAAAAAACCAATTATTTTACTTTTGACTTTTTTACTTGTTACAAAATAAAATTATTACATTTGCCTTGATAAGGCCTATCAGAGGACGAAACGTATCGGCTAAGATAAGTTTTGATTTTGTCTTAATTCCTATTATTCTTTTACATATATATATATATATATATATATATATATATATATATATATATATATATATATAGTTATATCTGAAATTTTATCTATGTGTGTATTCATCACATAAAGCTTTATTTTATGTTGAATTATATGTCCCTACTGCTTCTATGAATCAGTCGGTCAGTCTGTCTGTCAATGTGTGTGTGGTGGGAGTGAGAGACAAAGATTTATATGTAGTTCTTGGGAAAAAATCGCTCTATCAAGTAAAAAAAAAACCCAAAAAAACAAAAAAAAAAAACAGAACATAAATATCTTCTCTCCACACCGGAATAGAAAGTTAAACGAAAGTAAGTTACGGAGCCCAGATATATTTCCTTCTTTCATTATTCTTCTATCTCTTTCTATCTTCTTGATGTTTTCTCGTTACCGAGTTCCTTCAGAAGACGCTCGGAACAGAAAATGTTGGACAGGAAGTTAAAAGTCAGCTCTTCAATAATGGAGAGACGAAACAGCAGCAAACTGCCGTCTGTGAATCGATAACCATCGACGGAGATTAGAAGCTAATCAAACGCTTTTCAATCATCTTCAAAACTGATAGATCAATTTTTTTTTCCCTTCTTGTTAAGTATTTTTTTTTCAATTCGAATAAACTGAGACTATTCTGGATGCGTATCCATCTCTCTCCGAGTTGGTATATTCACTGTTGCGGACATTGCTCTGGTTAATCTGATCACAGGAAGCGCCAATATCGCAATTAAGAACAATTCACCACGATTTCCGGGTAAATCTGTGGGAGTTTGTCATTGCTTTCACCCCCAACACGTCTCGACAACCCCACAAAAAAATCTTTTTTCTCTCTTCTTTCATTTTTTTTCTCTCTTCTTTATCTATCTCTCTTCTTTCTCTCTCCCTCATCGTGTAGACTCTTGTATACATTTATTATTTTTTCTCTCGTCCTTCTTTTTCTCTTCCTCCTACTCTATCTCTTCTTTATCTGTCACTGTTTTTCTTTCGTTTTCTCTTCTTTTTCGCGCTCTCTCCATAATCGTGTAGACTCTCATTTTTTCTTTTTACTCTCTTCTATTTTCTCACCCTCTCCCCTTTCTCGTTATCTACTTCTCTTCTTTCTCTCAATTCTTTCTCTCTCCCCCCTTTTCTCTCCCAAAACGTATCGACTCTCGTATACGATTTTCCTTTTTTTCTCTCTTTTCTCTCGCTCTCTCTCCGCTCGCAATTCTTTCTCGCTCTTCTTTCTCTATCACATCTTACTCTCTTCTTTTCCTCTCTCTCTCCCCTCCTTCTAATTGTAGACAATTTTCTTTTTTCTCTCTTCTTTCTTTCTCTCTCTGTGCTCTTCTTTCTCTCCTTTCTTTCTTGGTTATCTTCTTTCCCTCTCACCCTAATCGTATAGACTTTCGTCGACGATTTTCTTTTTCTCTCTTTTCTTTCTCTCTCTCTCTTCTTTATTTCTCTTTATCTTCCCTTTTCTCTCTTTTCTTTCTCTCTTTCTCTTCTTTATTTCTCTTTATCTTCTTTCTTTTTCTCTCTTTTCTTTCTCTCTCTATTTCTCTTTATCTTCTTTCTTTTTCTCTCTTTTCTTTCTCTCTCTCTCTTCTTTATTTCTCTTTATCTTCTTTCTTTTCTTTATCTTTTTCTTTTCTCTCTATTTCTCTTTATCTTCTTTCTTTTTTCTCTTTTCTTCTTTCTCTCTCTCTTTTCTTTATTTCTCTTTATCTTCTTTCTTTTTCTCTCTTTTCTTTCTCTCTCTCTCTCTTCTTTATTTCTCTTTATCTTCTTTCTCATTCTCTCTTTCCTTAATCGTGTAAACTCTCGAAGACAATTTTCTTTTTTGCCTAAAACCAAAGATGGCGCAGGGGTTCAGCTGTTCTCTTTGCTTGGATTATTCTTTTGTTTGTTGCACAATACATCTAGGCCACAACATAAATATGATACAGAATCGGTTAATTATACTTGAATTTGAGCGTTTCTTCATTAAATGGATATTTTATGATACACTTAAAACGAAGGAGCGTCAGAATACCGAAAGACGCCATTTTGAAACTAAGCAAAGTATTAATAGTTGAAAACTATATCGTTAGAAGAGAAGAAAAGAATGCTAAATTGCTAAATCATATCTATTCTTGTCTCCAACAGTGAATGCTAGATTAAAGATTAGGGGTCTTGAAAAAAGTGAGATATAGTTTACAGATGATTTTAATAATTCCATAAAATGAAGAAAAAATAGATTTGATTTGTTTTACGGTACATTAACAGTTTGGGGATGCTTTAAAGCAGAAATATTTTTTTAATTGTATAAGAATAATATTCCTAGCCAGCCCTGGGTAAATACCAAGACAGACTGGGTCTTATAGCATTGGATGGCAACTTCTTTAAGTGACGGACAACTCAGAATTCAAAATCAGAGGGTCATGCGTACGAACCGAGGGTGACCTACAACGTATTCCTCGGCTGTCATTGAAGAGTTTAGAGAGAATATGAACACCACCAGCCTGTCTGAAAGCTCACCGAAAGTATCACGAGGAAGAGAAATAAAAATAACTATATCCCGCAGCAAGACCTCTGATTGAGGGATTGGAGCTTTTGAGGATCTTGGAACCATCTGTTACTTGCTGTTGATCCCAGGTCCATCCTGACCCGTGGTAGCATATGAACATTTCAGCGTACCTTCCTAGTTACTTTTGAAGTCTTCTTTGAACAGTCAGATATCAGTTTACCTGAAAAAGAAAACAATGCAGCTATTAATAAGAAGAGTTGAAATTAATGCATGCAAGATTTCACAATTCTATTATTACTCCTACATATAGTCAGCTGATGAACTTATCAGCGCAGCCTCGTAGTCACGCAAAAACAATTGGTAATTTGCTCAATCGCATTCTGCCCTCAACCCATGTTCTGTAATTTTTAGGTTTTTTTTTCATTATATAGCCCATAAATTCTGTCTTTCTTTGTATAAGAATAAATGTTTTATTTCCTATTTTCTTAAAACTTCCTTGTCGTTCTTGGTCAGTTATGGGCCATGCGCGATACACGCTTAGGCGATCACGTATCATTCGATACATGACTGACGAGGCAGATTTTTTCTCACAGTAGGTTGCCATTTTTTTCTGCGTTAGACCAGTTGCCATCCAATGCTATAGAACACGGCCTGTCTTACTATTTACCTATAGCTGAGGGGAGAAGAGTATTCATACCTTTCCCAAGGGTATTAGCACGTAAGTGAATGTAATGGATTCGACAGGAATTCGAACTAAAACTAAGAAACACCTTGGTGCATCCCGTGTCAGGAAGCTTACACGGCTGTGCATGTACTGATAATCTATAGAGAATTCCAGCAAACTTGAGCCAAGTACGACAATGCCGATAACATTTCGAAAATACGAAACCAAGTGACATTTTGCAGTTACGATCCATTTCTATACGCTGCAATCTATTTTTAAGGAAAAAGTTTATTTGAAATCATCTTCATGCAAGTTGTATCTGAAGAATTAGTGTTATATAATTTTTACTTATTACTGACAGACGGATGATGGACAATGAATACTTTTCCAAATGAAAATTGTATTTTGAGGAATAAATAATATAACACTAATTTTCCCGATAAATATTGCATGAAGATGAGTTCAAATAAACTTTTTCTTTAAAAGTAGATTGAAAAACATTTATACAACGCAAAGAAATGGATAGTAACTGCAAAATTTCGCTTGGTTTCTTATTTTCAAAGTTATCGGCACTGTCATCCTTGGCTCGTGTTTGCTGGAATTCGCTACACATGAGTACATGCACGGCCGTGTAAGCTTCCTGACATGGTATGCACCAAGGTGTTTCTTCGTTTTGGAGTAGGTGTTGGTGGCTGAAATATCAACATAAGAAAACGACATTTATTCTTACACAAAGAAAGAGACGGAATTTATGGTATATATAACGAAAGAAAAGCTAACAATCACAGAACATGGGTTGAGGGCCGGAAGCGACTGATAAAATTACCAAATATTTTTGTGTAACCACGAGGCTCTGCTGAAATGTTCATCGGGTGACTATATGTAGGAGTAATCCTAGAATTGTGAAATCTTGCATACATTAATTTCAACTCTTCTTATTAATAGCTGCATTGTTTTTTTCCGAGTAAACTGATATCTGACTGTTCAAAAAAGACTTCAAAAGTAACTACAAGTGTGGATTGAAAGGTTCTTAGGCTGTCTATATGAAGAAGTGATGTGATATCTTACATGCATTCATCTCAACTCCTCTTATTAATAACGGCATTGTTTCTTTCCATATACAAGGGTGAGCTGAAAAGTTCATAAGTTGATTATATGAACGGGTGATACCAGAGCTGTGAAATCTTGTATGCATTCATTTCAACTCTTCTTATTAATAATTGCATTGTTTCTTTCAAGGTAAATTGACATCTGACTTTTTAAAGTAGACTTCAGAAATAAGTAAGAACTGAAAATGCCATATGCTCTCTATATGAAGAAGTGATACTAGAGTTATGAAAACTTGCATGCATTCATCTCAACTCTTCTTATTAATAACTGCATTGATTCTTTCTAGCTAAACTGACATCTGACTATTCAAAGAAGACTTCAAATGTAACTAGTAGCGATTTCTCTTGAAAATGGACAAAATTTGGCATCGTGGTGTTATTGAGTATCAGGCGAAATGGATCGGAATTATTAATCGGAGAGCCGAGTTTCAATCCCCATTGGTCCATTATATTCACTTACATGCAGATAACTGTGAAAAAGATATTAATCCACCCATTCTCCTCATATATGGGTTAATGAGGATCGACATCACTACTTTGTCCTACTTAGTCTAATGAGACAAGCATGCTAACCCTTACACAACGTATAAAGACCATTATTTGCTAATCTCACCTTAGATGTGGCAAAGACTGCAAGTATGCAGCACCCAGTGAAGAACGAACTCACTACTCAGTCTTCATTGATCTTTCGAAACTAGCGTTGTAATCATTGCACCATGTCAATTGAATCAGTTGTTTTTACGGCTTATCAACCTTTTTCAGTTTATTCAAAGCCAGAAAGTATTTTTAGATTGTAAGAATTTTTCTTTTTTTGAGATAGTAATGATTTATTGATATAAGTCTTACTAATTAACCCATATCTGGGGGATAAAAATGAATTCTTACCTTTCCCAAGAGTATTTATGTGAAAGCAGATAGATTGATTTATTGATTTGATTGTTACGATTTGACATTGTTTTGCTTTTATTTAAAGCTATAATTATTTTTAAGATCTTTTGGAGATAATAATGATTTACTGATACAAGTCTTTTTTCCTAGCAATATATCAGTAAATCATTACTATCTTAAAAAAAAAAAAAAATTTTATTATCCTTCAATACGCTGACTAAATTCGTCTCATTCCCCTTCACTCCATGTAACTCTAGTAGCATTATAACCTTGCTTGGGTGGGGGGAAATAATTTTTTTTGAAATGGAAAAACGTATCTATAAAGTGTAACGCGTGAAAAGTTTCTAATATTACTAATATAGGGTGTTTCATTAAAACGGATTATATATATATAAAGGTGTTTCATTAAAGCGGATCCAAGTCAGCAGTAAATAAATCAGTGTTATTGGTGAACATGTATTTGTTTCTCTATTGGATCATGTTATTTAAGTCATGGCAATTATGTGTGAAAATTAATATCGCCTAAATGTGCGCCAAACCTGAAAGAAAAAAAATAATTAGACACCTAAACTTAATTCACATTTAAAATCGGTCCAAGTTATTGGAACACCCTTTATTTATCACATGAAATGAATTTACCGTCATTTTTGTCGGCATAGAAAAAGCAATTTAACCCTGAAGAGTTAATAGATATTAAGTCATATTATATTTACAAGGACGTGTATATACGTTTTAGACACGGACGAATAAATATAAATGTTCGAAAAACCAGCTAGAGACGTGTTTATGCGTCGATATGCATCCTTTTTATACCCTTCAAAGCTTGAAACGAATCCAGTTGTCAACTCATACCGTTCGGGTACTTCAAAGTGACTCAGTTTCTTAGTTACTATATAAAAATAACAAATAAAAATATTCATCTGAAAATGAAAGTTTTTTTCCAAAATAATTGGCGGAGAAGGGGTTAATATATATTAATATGATAATTTAAAATATTATTATTGCTACGTATAATATAATAATCGGGAAAAAGATATCTATAAAGACTCACATATGAAAACTTCTGTGTAAGTCTTGCGGCCACATTACGTTGAAACACTGGTTCCCATACGATGTCGATGTTAAGCAATATAAAGCCTGGTCAGAACTTAGACTTGAGACTATTTTAAATTCAGATTTCCGGGTGATATAATGGATAATGCCTCGGGATCTTTAAACAGAGAGTCGTGTTAGGTTCGTTGTATTCACTTACGCGCAATTACCATTAAAAATGTACGAATACATCCCTTCTCCTTCCATCTATGGGTTAATTAGTATCGCTAAACCATTATTTCAAAACATTTTTACAATATAAAAATATTCCGGCTTTAAATAACTTGCAAATGGTTGATAAACAGTAAAAAACGAATCGATCTAATGCGTAGATCTGAAGAAGCTAAATCTTGCAGTGAAAATGGAACATGTTCCAAAATTAGATGATATTTCACCTAAACTAAATGGAGCATTTTTTTTCTTAAATTGGATGCTACCAACTAATTCTACTAAATTCACTTAAGTAAAGATAGCTAAATAGTCACGACTTTCATTACTTCTTTTGGAAGATAAAACTGTATGAAATTGGCTGCTAAAAGTTGAATCAACACAAATAATGAACAAGACACATGACGTTCTAAGATCAACAGTTGTTTTATTCAAAATCCCGCCCGATCTGTTTTGCTCCCAGAATTCTCTAGTGGGACCGGAAGTGCTTACACATCATCATCATCATCATCACCACCAAGTTTACGGAACAAAATTAACAAAATGTGCACTCGTTTTTGCCGGCAGGTGTAAAGAAGTAAATAATGTAATATCGACCATTTACCGCTCGGCGAAATATCGATCTTTAAGCGGATTTCCAAAGTAATAATATATTAAGCTCTATATAGACCTGAAGAAGGTTTTATTTTGGCAGGAAGCCAGCTGAAACTTTGTTTCCCTCTGTTAAAACACTGAATCCAGAAAATGGAAGAGGGGAAAAATTGAACAGAAAGAAGCTGCCGCTTTGACAAAGATTTAAAGATTTTCTTATATATTACATAAGCCGAACTTAGCTCCGCGCATGCGCAAAAAGACAGACAGCGAGTCGGCGTTGTCTAAATTTGATGAATCCCATTCTTTTCATGTGTGTTTTTGTCGCCGGAATAGTTAACATCGGTAAAAGAAGAAACGGACAAAGAAGAATTTAAATCCGAAATATCAGAAACATTGTCGATATATAAGTAAAAGGTCATCGATATATAAGTCATTGTTGGAGAGAAAACTCGCTGGTAGATAATGTTTGAATTGAAGTTAGTTACAGAATCAACAGGGCGATGTCTGTCACCAGGGTAACCGGCAGAGTTGAAAAGCGAAAGAGCTAGAAATGAACCATCACAGAAAGGAAAGTAGGGAGGAAGAGAAAGAAAACAGGACATACAATTAAACGAGTATGACAATGAGAGAAAATGGCGGAAGAAAGATAGGAGGGGAAAAGTAAGAGTTCAATAGTAGATTAAGAGAGGGAGAATAGACAACGAGACAAGGAGAAAGAGAAAAAAAAGAGCGAAATGGGAGTAGGGAAAACAAAGAAGAGACGATTGAGAAACCGGAATGAAAAATAAGTAAAAAAATAAAAGAAAGAAAGGAATGATGAAAATAACGGAAAGGGAAGTTCCAAAGACTTAAAGGTATACGAACAAATGGAAAAAAAAATAGAAAAGTAAGGAGAGGAAGAGAGGAAGGAAAAGAAAGAAAGCAGACTGTATGACCAAAAGGTAAAAATGAGGGAAAGAAATAAAAGGAAGAAAAGGAAGAAAGGAAGAGAAAGAGAGTACATTGTAAAAGCGAAAAGTCAAAAAAGGAAAAAGGTGAGAATGAGAGAAAGAAGGAAAAGAGAAAAGTAAGGAGAGGAGAGAAGAAGTAAGAGACAAAGGTGAGAATGGGAGAAAGAAACGAAATAGAAAAGGAAGGGCATATATGCCGAAAAACTGGATAGGCGAAAGAAACGAAAGAGAAAAAGAATGTCAGAGAGTAAGAGAGAGAAGGAAAAAGAAAAAGAGTAGATTCATAGAGAAGAAAAAAGACGAAAGGCGAGAATGAAGTTAAGAGATCTTAAGGAAAACTGTAACAATGAGAAAAAGTAAGGAAATCGAAAAGAAAGCGCAGAGAGAGAGAGAGAGAGAGAGAGAGAGAGAAGGAGAAAAAAAAGAAAGGAATGGAAGTGAGAGAACGGAAGGTCAAAAGGTTAAAATAGAAGACATAAGAGAAAGGGAAACAAAAATACTTAAAGAGACTAGATTGTGTGACGGACGAATACAAATTAGAAAGCGAAAATAAGAGCAAAATGCCTTATATAATAAAACACATTAATTCCTTAGAAATACACACACACACAAACACACATATAAAGAATCTAACATATCTATCGTGTACAAAGAATGCATTTTTAACGAGGTCACTAATAAATTAGAACCTTGTGACACCCCGCTACGTGGTTTGACCACACTAAGGTGAATATAGAACTCCCACTAGACAAACACTGATACACAAGTTATTTGTAAACCCCTTTTTTAATTTTAAATTAATATTCTATTCTTCATATAAATCCAAATTAATGTCATACTGTTAATATTCGAGTTTAATTTTATAAAACTTCTTCCCTTTTTGACAAATACCTTCCACCTTCTCCCGACCCGTGTCTCGTGCCTTTCGTCTGACTGAAACATTGAAATGGATAAATCCTGTATTAGTTTTTCGACAGGTTGGATTATTTTAGTTTAGATTTAACAGTTAAATTTTTAATTTTGGCACACCGAGATTGATAAAACAGATGACCGATATCTTTGTCTGCCGAAATAGACTATTCCTCATATGAGGTGATTTTGGATTTTATTGTTTATTAATTTTATTGCTCTGTAATACGAAATAAATTGAACTCTTTTTGTGGATCAGCTTTAGTATTGTATATTACTAGGATCCACTTGGATTATATACCAACGGATTTGTTACATTTACAATATATATATATATATATATATATATATATATATATATATATATATATATATATATATATATATATATTGTGGACGATCGAACTAAAATCGTCGAAGATTTGTTGTTTTAAAACATTAATTTGGACAGTGCTAACCAGACGCTTCTCTATAAAGTGCCATAGCGTGTTAGACAAAATGACGTTTCCGTATAGGACGCAGGTTCGATTCCCGTTGGAGAACGCATATTATCTACGAAATTTCTAGAAAATTCTGGCCTGTAAATATAATTACTACTATTTAAATTACAAAATAGAGCATTTACATAATTAGATTGTAGCTATTAAAATATCGTATAAGCAGAAAATATATTGACTAATTGGGAGAATTAAATCATTTCATATGTATAAATTATTCATTTTTAAGTATAAATTTAGCATACTATATATATATATATATATATATATATATATATATATATTTTTTTTTTTTTTTAAAAAAACAGACCACTTTAAGGCTCCATTGTAATAGTTTACAAGGTCTCTGGTGAAATAAACTATTACAATGGAGCCTTAAAAAAACTGTTTTTCTTTAAAGTATTAGCTCTGAATTTATATTGAGCTCTCAAGATTTCATCTTCCTTAGGACTACCTATATGATCTACCAAGTTTTTCGTAACTTAACTATATATATATATATATATATTTTGATTTAGTTTAATTTAATTTAAAGTAAGGGTAGAAGTGTCACTCAGAAAAATTTGCCCGTATGTTAATTTTCATACTGAAATATTTTGACACTGAAAAGTCTATTTGCAAACTTTTTTGTAAAGAAACCACGTGAAAAGGAAATCTTCGAAATTTCTGCTGAAATACATTGTCATCAGATACTTGATAGTTTTAAAAGTACCTCGTTTATACGCAAGTGTAGTCAAGTTTAATTAAAGTAGCATTTCTACTAACATTAGTGCGGTGTAAGTAACTTGGAAAAAAATGTTAAGAAAGTAAGACAAAACAGAAAGAGTTACTAAATGTGCTGTTTTATATAAAATTGACCAATAATATATATATATATATATATATATATATATATAGTAAAATGACGAACAATACATTTTAAATGGCCGGTAATACATTTTATTTGTAGTTAAAGGCATACAACTGTGTTCAAATAAGTTAGATTGCAGCATTAAATAACCGATAGAAGTTGACATGCCACTAAACAAAATCAACCAACCTGAAACCATATAATATTCTACAATTTCTTAAATCAAACGGTATTCCAAAATATAACTTCATCAAAACTACAAGATAAAAAACACATGTCACTGTCCCTAATAATTATGTACATGCAAACATTTATATGGACAAAAGTTGGGTACCATGTATCATTGTGAAAACAGTATAACATAATATCCTATTTTTATTACTTCAAAGCTCCCCCCAAAAATAAATTTCGGCTTTAAATGACCCATAAAGAATTGATGTGCCGTTAAACAGATCGATTAATCAAGCTAAGACCGATGTGCGTGTAGCTTAGAGACTAAAGAACGATTGGTGTGTCGGAGTTCAAATTCTAGTCGACGCCGTTATATTAACTTTCACATAAATACTCTTAGCAAAAGTTTGAATCTATCTTTTCCCGAACACAGCAAGTTAGGGTGGGTTCTTTAGATTTGGTTCGTAATCATTTCGGCTGTCGGTTAGCAAATCCGCTACGTGATGTGACATAGAAACCAGAGCCACAACGCTTAGCATAGTGAGGCCGTGGTCTTTGGATAGTTTCTAGATTTAGCAGGAGAGCAAAAACGATAAGGGTGAATAATGTCTATATATAAGTGAAACCAATTCTGCAATAGGCATGGGTCAATTACTTTGACTTGAGGAAGAGTGTAAATTTGTTCAACTTAGAGGAATTAGATCCAAATTAAAACAGTTTTTTTTTATAATAAACATCAAATAATACAGGATACAAGAAACAATCAAAGTAGAAAGTTGCGTGTGAAGGAAGATAAGAAAAAACTAAAAATGATTAAACAGCGACAACAATAAAAGAACCGAAATTAAGAACACTGAAGATAACGATTGGCATTGCATTTAAATTTTTAAAAATCAAAGTTGATCGGAAAGCAAGAAATCGGAAGAATGTTCCACAAATGAGAAGAGCAACAAAAGAAACTCATAGCATAGAACTTACGGTTACATCAATCTAGTACTGCGCTTAAATTAATAGAGTTTAGAAAAGGCACAGGGAAGCTACTTTACGGCGATAAAAAGGTGCCTGATTAGAATCAATGGAATTAAACATTCTTCTCTGGATTTTATCAAGTATCCCTAAATACTCACCTGGTCAAAATCTTAAGACCAGATACAAAAGGGCTAAAAAAAATAATGTTACTTTAATCAAAATATATTTGCGAAATACATTTAAATAGAATATGTAGCTTATCAACTAACAAGTGAAAATTTTAAACTTTTAATTGATTAATTTAAACAAAAATTGAAAAAGGAACTATTGGGTTGGTCATAAAGATAAAACCATGTGTGAAAAAACAAATTACTGGACAAAAGCTTTAGAATTAGTCAGTGTGCTCATAGCTTCAGGCGTGTAGACATTTACGTAGATCATTTCCAGCATTAAATTTCAGATTTTAAAATGGCTAAGGGTAAAATTTTAACAAAGTTTAAACAGGGCAGAATTGTTGAACTTCAAAGACGGGGTCTTTTGCAACGAGCCATTGCAAATCAAATTGGCCGTAGCAGAACTGTCATTGCTAACGTCATTAAAAATCCGGATGCGTATGCTTCCAAAAAATCAAGCGGTCGCCCCCCAAAAATCTCACAATCTCTAGACAGACGCATTACTTAAGAGAGATTCAAGCCTAACATCAAATCAGATAAAAGCGAATACAGATGCTAAATGCAGCATCTGTATTCGATAGCATTTAAATAAGGGCTTAAGAACTTGAAACGGCTGCAGAGTCCTCGCCTTCTTCTTCGCCATGTGACGTCACCCAGGCCTCTCTCTGCTCCCGTGCTATCCTGTGGCGACCAATGTGACTTGGTATTGGTCGCGGCACCAAATGTGACGTGATCCTGCTGTCACGGCACCAAATGTGACGTTCTAACCCTTGGCTGATTCGGATGGGAATCTGGTTAGATTTGGTATCAGCTTTGTCGTTCCCAGCTCGCCTCCAACGTCTGGTTACCAAAGTAACTGCTTTGACTTCTAGTCTAACCTATCCACGTTGTGATTTGATCTTAGGTAGACGAAATCAATCAGTCGCCGGGCCGTAATGCAAGCCGAGTTCAAGCAAAGGTAACACCGCACAAGTATATGTAAAAGAAAATAAAGTAACAACTCGAAAATTTCAAATGTGTTAAAAAAAAGAATAACAAATATTTTTATATCTGGTTTCTGAATACAGGACTGCATCTTTCTCCCAAACCGCCTCTATGGACTCGTGCTTGTTAGGCGAGTTTTAACATCTTAAGTTGTTTTTTTCAAGAAACTGTTTTTTTTTTTTTGTATCTTTAGGCGATATTCGCAAAACTTGTTTTGGTGGTGTGAGTCTAAGTCGTTCTTCAAAAATTAATTGTTCTTGGTTAGAAGTCGAAGTCGGGATACGTGGATCTTCAGTCAGCTTCCTGGAGCTGGTCTCAGAGCTCACAGCTCAACTCTGTCTGCGTCTGCGTCTCTCCAACTCCAACTGCAACTAACTCACTGTGACTCTGCTTATATGGACGCCGACCAAAACCGGGTGTGGGCTTGTCGGGGTTTGAGTTCCTCGATAATTCTAAACCCACAATAAGGATTTTCTTTGTTTTCGGGCAGGAAAATTTATCACTTTCCATTTTTGGAAGTCCATTACTTTTTGCTTTAAAAGGTTTCTTAAGGGTATCGTCCTCCCAAATTCTTCCTTTCTCATATTGGTATCTCACACCAATCCCCTCAGAGGGCGTCAACAGGTTTCCTTCTCTCTCTCATCTCACAATCCCCTCAGAGGCGTCAACAGGCCTCCCTTCCCTCTCACAGTGGTATCTCACACCAATCCCCTCAGAGGCGTCAACAGGCCTCCCATCCTTCTCATATGTTTACCATTATTGCTCAAAGGCAAAAAAAAAATTATCTTCTCTTTTTTCTTTTCTTTCTTTTTCCGACACAAAACCCCTACGACTCGTAGTGTGGTCCTTAATCTCTATCTTAACCGAATGTCACCTGGACTTTATCAACGAGATTTTCGCCAGCGTCAAGTGGGTGGTTAACTGGACGTCTCCGCACGCTGTCGCTAATTATCTCT